GGGTGCCTACAAGTACATCCAGGAGCTGTGGAGGAAGAAGCAGTCGGACGTGATGCGGTTCCTGCTCCGCGTGCGCTGCTGGCAGTACCGGCAGCTCTCCGCCTTGCACCGAGCCCCCCGGCCCACCAGGCCAGACAAAGCTCGCAGGCTGGGATACAAGGCCAAGCAAGGTAACGAGGCCCAGGGAGCAACTCCACATGCTTCTTTAAGTGGTGGTAGGACAGCACAATCTGAACCTTAAACGTTCCCCAAGAACCTGAATTGTTCAGCATGAAATTAACTTAATAAACGGGTTAAGTTGGTAACAGTGCCCACAGCCCAAAACCTTCTGGGGTCATTTTGGTGGGTGGAGATCAAGTGGGCTTTGGCTTTAGTTCTTGTGCTGTGTTGCTGCTGCAAAGCTGGCCTAGGTTTGAGGGTCCTCCTCTGCCCAGCCAGCTTTTGTCTTGCATTACTTTGTCTCTGGTACAGCTGCATGTAAACAAAGTGATGCAAGTTTGTACTGTCATTAGAAAATGGTTACTGGTCAGTGACAGAAACTAGGGGAAAGCAGCTGTCCATCTGTAACTCAAGCAAATCCTTGAACCCGTGTGCTTGCTCATTGTGGAAACACAGAGCTAAAAGTTTATTCTTCTGTTCCTGTTTGTGAAGTGCAATTGAAACTTCATTGCAATGAAGTTTCCTCATTTTTCAGTGATCGAGTTTCCACAGGGTTTGTGGGTGGCTTATGCTTCAGCACTTTGTGAATTCTGCTACCAGAATATGGGATTTTCAGTTTGGACCATTTGTTTTGTTGTTTTGGGGTGGTGGTGGGGTTTTTTGTTTGGTTTTGGTTTTTTACAGCATAGCCATAGCTCTTCTCGATGTGTTTGGAAAGTGCCTTAAGCTCTGCTTTGGAACTAAAAAATGATTGCGACAGGACATCCCTTCCTTGGTTGTAACAGAAACAACAAAACCACCATGTGACATCTCCGGTTGTAGGTTTTGGTGAGGACGGGTATAGTGACATCATTTTGTAGCACTTCATGTGAGGTTTGGGGGGCTGGAAATGCAGCATGGGCATTGAAATTGTCTTGCTGTGATTTGCACTTGCTACAGAATTCTTGCAGTTGCTCAGTGACCGTTTCTTTTAGGTTACATTATCTACCGTGTCCGTGTCCGCCGAGGGGGCCGGAAGCGCCCGGTCCCGAAGGGCGCGACCTACGGCAAACCCGTGCACCACGGCGTCAACCAGCTGAAGTTTGCCCGGAGCCTCCAGTCTGTAGCAGAGGTGACTCTTGGTTATTGCTTAGAGACGTGGCCGTAGGGAGGTTTTGGGTCTGTAAAAGCTGGAAATCCTCAGAGACAAAAAAAAAGCCAAACAGCTGTTTTGTTAATGTTTTGAGTAAAACAATTGTGAATAGTGATGGCAGGAAAGCGGTAGAGTGTCTTGAAAAGGTGGATGGAGACAATTGGAAAGACTACCCAGACTCCATGTGGGGTCTGGGGGAAGCACTGCTTTGGTGGTTTGTTGGAGTTCATAGTGTATACTTCTGAAGTCTGCCCCAGTATTAGTAATGAAAAGCAGATATGTATATCTAGTATAAACCCCAGTAGATGAAAGAGTTGGGCATGAGAAATAATTCAGATATGCTAAGGTGTCTGACCTCGCTCGTGGCTAAATCCCACCTTGGTGTCCCCTGCCATGCTGTGTGGCACCTGCTTTAGGTCATGGGCCTTTCACAGGGTACAGATGAGCTCCAGCCTTAAGGTCTGTAGCGCCAGTTTGGGTGGTAGGAGTGCAGCACAGTGCCCTCAGCTGTGTCCTGGGGGGTCTGAAGGCAGCGTGCCAGAGACCTCCTGGGTCTTTCTGAAGAAACTGCTACTTCGCAGGCACAAATATTGGTGGTTAACTTGTTTTCAGGTGAGATGCTACCTGCTGAAATACTCAAAGTGGAAACTTGCATTCTGTGGTATCATTTTAAGTTTCATGTCACAGACGTCATGTTGAAGAGACGTAGTTCTCACCTTAGAAGAAATTCCTTCAGTGGGCTAGAATTATTACTTGTCTGTACTCTCAAAAAGGAGACGTTGTGAAAGCATAAAAACTGCTCATTACCTTTCCATCTTGAAGCAGAAGACTTTTCTGTTCCCAGGACTTCAGAAATATTCCCAGGTGACTTCAAGCAAGATGAATATGGAGGGGTTTTTAAAAGGGAAGAAAACCTCAAACTTAAATGGGCCATGCCCATTTAAAAGAAACATAGATGATGAGTTTAAATTAAAAATACAGTTCTCTGTTTTAAGTGCCCATGACGTGTTCTTCAGATATGGTAGTCCCAGGTATCTGGTGGCTGGTCACATGCTCACTTGTGGTGACAGGTCAGGGAAGAGGTTATTTGCCCTCAGTTTTAGTTTGAAATTTTCTGAATCTGTCACACTCTCTTCTGGAAGATGTACGTTTTTCAGACAGAAGTGCAGCAGTAGAAAACCTTGGTTGTAGGTGGGTGTCCCCACAGAGAAGCTGGTTGGGGATGGCTGATGTTTCAATGTGTGATGCATGTGTTGCCCTCGCCTTGAAATAAGGGTGCCACAGCTGCCGAAGGCAGTCGGGTGCCGCCCAGCGGGGCCGGCAGGTTGGGCTGCACTGGGATAGACGATGGGTGGGCTCCCTCGGGTGACACTTTCCCATGGTGATGCTAAAATCCTACCACTAAACACCTTCAGTGCTTTAAATAAGGAGCATTTCTGACAGGAGAGGCAGATGGAGTTGGATAATTGATATTTTCTGCTTTGTTTTGTTTTCTAAACTAAGACTGCTTCTTTCCAACCACAAGTGAGGGGAGGAATAGCAAGCACTCGTACACCAGCAGTGGAACAAAGGCTTGTTACATCAGCTCTTCTTTTTCTCCTATCAGTACAGGCTTATTCTCTGCAGAAATGTCTTTCTCCCCTGTAGCTTTGGATGTGCAAATTCATCAGTCTTTCATAACTTCCCACAAAAGATTGTTCGTGGCCCCAGGTGCTGCTTGTGGTCTTAGTGTTCAGGTTAAAGTAGTTTTTAACTGTATTTACTGCTCAGGTGCTTCTGCGTACAAAGTAGTTCTTTCTTTTGTCAACCAAGCACCTTCCTGACATTCTTTAAAACCTGTTCTGTGTAAGAACCCAAGCACCTATTTTTAAATTTTTTTTTTAATACTGCATTCCTTTCAGATGTTATTTTTCCTAGTGTCTTTGCAACAGGAAGGGGGACAGTTCTTTTAGGAAGAGAGGATTTCTCAGGGCAAACTGAAATTGCTAGCACTTATAATATTTTAGGTTTGATTACTTGGGGTTTTCTGTGTGAAGAGAGCCTGGCTTCTGTGATTTTACAGCCTTTTATTTTTTCCTCTAGGAACGTGCTGGCCGTCACTGTGGGGCTCTGAGAGTCTTGAACTCGTACTGGGTGGGTGAAGATTCCACGTACAAGTTTTTTGAAGTGATCCTGATCGATCCCTTCCACAAGACCATCAGGCGCAACCCTGACACCCAGTGGATCACCAAGCCCGTCCACAAGCACAGGGAGATGCGTGGGCTGACGTCGGCCGGGCGGAAGAGTCGTGGGCTGGGCAAGGGCCACAAGTTCCACCACACCATCGGTGGCTCGCGCCGCGCGGCCTGGCGGCGGCGCAACACCCTGCAGCTGCACCGCTACCGCTAGGCTTGTACCTGTCACCCTCTAATAAAGCTGCTGCGGGCTGTCACATCTAACAAGTGCTTCTGCTGCTTCTTCATTTACGGGGAGAAATGTAGAATTCTCCGGTCCCGTTGTTTCCGTGTTTGAAAGGCTTTTGAAAAGGTAACGTGTGGAGATTGCGGGCCCGAGCAGAGTTCTGTGGTGGGTTTCGCTTTTGATGGAACTGAAGACACGTGCAGTGTGAATTGAAAGCCTGATGGCTAGTCTGTGTTCTTTCTGTGTGCTCTGAGCCTACTTCACTGTCTGTAGGTCGAGGTCTCTGTGTCCTGTGCTTAGACCAAAGGCCAGCTTTGATCTTGTGCAATGAGATGTAAACTGAAAGTGCTAGCTTATTTTTTATAGGTGATTAAATACTAATGGCAATTTTATTTTCAAGTTCTGGGGTTTTTTTTGGTATGTCTTCAGTGTGAAGCCATCTCTTGAGCCTGTGTTACCTGCAAACATCGACTGAGCACAGAATGGGAAGGTGAGGCTTGCCCAGGTCATTAAAGCACACTGTTTTAAACAGAGAGACTTCACAAAGAACTATGTGATGCTTAAGTTGAATAATAAAACATTGACTCAAATAGGTGTTACTTTGTTGGTGCAAGATTCCAGGCTGGTCATTTTACAATTTGCAGTGGATACAGTGTTACTTAGATCTGCCTTTTGCTACCAGGACAGAGAAGGTTTCTCTGGTGTTAAAGAGCTGCATTCTCATTTACTCTGCATGGTTAGGTGGTAGAAATAGCAACATTTGGATGACAGACAGCTACAATCGTAGCCTGAAATACATTAATCTAAATTTTGTGTAATTACAGTGTGACCTTTTGGCATGAAGTCAGCTTGCACATAGACACTGAGAGGAGAATAGTGGCCGTTTCTGGTAAATCAGCTGTACAGCTGTCCTCGCTTCCATGGATTTTGTACCACATCCAATGGGTAGTGGTAGGAAAAGGGATCAACAGGAGATCCAAGAAGTAGCTGTCTCTGGAGCTTCAACTTCAGATGTGGAATGATTAAAAAAAAAAGAAGTGCCGGGACTGAAAAGTCCCAAAATTTGCCTTCCAACTAAGTAACAATTTGCTTTTTGGTTTAAGTTCTTGTTGGATAGTAACCTGAAGAAGAGACTTTTTTGGCAGTGTGTTCTTAAAGCCAGGAAGAACAGCTCAAGGTGGCAATCCTTTCCTGATGCGTTTTGTTTGGCTCAAAGAAGAAAACAGAAATCATCTGTTAAAAAGAAGTGCCATCTTCTCTAAAGAAGGTAGATTTTTTTTTTTTAGCCTTCCCCATGAAGTAACAGGAGTATTCTTGAAAGCTGTTCCTGTGATGGTGTAGGACAGGAAGTAGATGCTGATAGCCAGACTTGCCTGAGGTTTCCCCTTGCAGTCCTGTAGCCTTCTGAACTTAAAAACGGGGAAATACTCCATTCAAATTTGAGTGAAAGCTCCTGGTGAAAGTGTGTTTAAGGGCATGGTGTTTATTGGACTAGATAAGGAATTTGAAACAAATTGTGCTGTCTTCAAGGGGAGCTCTGGGTACCTGTGGCTCACCCCAAGTCTTTGGGAAGTCGGATTTCCTTTGCATCTTGTCACACTGGAAGCGTTAGCTTTGTGAAACTTCTGGGTTGGAGGGGAAATGTCACTGCTGTTTTTGTGTGAAGAGGAAAGGCAAATTATTAAAGTCCGTTTTAAAAAGGCAAAACATTGAGGAAACCCTCTTATCTTTGGGGTTGTTAGCTTGGGAAACTGGGCTTCGAGGGAGGTTATGTGATCTCCGCTTTTCCTATTTGATGAGTTTTGAACCTGTTGTGCAAGTTCAACAGATACTGTGTTCCTTAAAAGTCTGGTGAAAATCAGTCATTGGAGACAGCCCTAGTGAGAGGCTGCTAATTGAGTTCAACCCTCCTGATGCACCAAGGGTCTTGCCTGAAACACAGATACTAACCTGTAGCTGAAGGGGGGAAGGGAGAGGAAGCATCAGGAATTTTCACTAGTGAAATTTATTTGGAGGGAGGAATCCAGTAATCCATTTCCAAGCCATCTACTGGGCTCTGCGTGCAGGACTGATGACTTCTCAGTCTGAACGGGCGTTTTGGACATCATTAAGGGTGCTGTCTGGTTTCTAGGCAAGACGAAATGCGTACGGCAGTCCAGCTGCGGAGAAATGGGGCTGTATGGTACCAGCCTGTTTAGCCTGGTGCCAGGCACTGTTGAAGAGTCAACTGTAAGCTTTTCTTAGGCTGGGTTTAATTTTTGTGCAAGCTGCCTAGATCACTGAGCCTTTGGTAGAAGTTGAGGGCATGGCAAGTAACTCAGCCCTTGTTAGAAACGGATTCTGCCCTCCTGGAGGGTGGGATATGTAAAAACAGGTTGTGTTATTTAACGTGTTCTTCAGATAAGCGAGTAGCGGACTCCCCCGTGGCTAACAGAAGAGCTCTCGGGCTGGCAGCACGCGCTGTGTTGGGAGCACCTGCTCGCTAATGGGCGCTGAGTGCAGCTGCTTCCTCGGCTGTTCCGAAGCTTTGGGGGGCTCTGGCCCGGGGGTGCCAGCGTCCTGCCTGTGGTAGGCACGGGTGCTGATGGGGGAGGTGTTGGCTCCTGTCCTGCCGCAGCAGATCACTGAGTGTCACTGGTGATTCTGTGTGGGTCTTGGAATGAAGTGATCAGCGATGGAGGAAAGTAACAGCTCAGCTTGCTCACTTGGCTCCATCCTTGCAGTGCAGCAGTTGTTGGCTAGCCTTGACCTAGTGAGATAAGTGACTGCATGTGAACAGCCCCGTTGAGCTAATGAATTAAAAAGCTAGACTCCAAAAATAGAGCCTGATTCCTACTTTTTTTAGTCTACTCACTCTCCAAGATTAAAAACACCATCTCCAAGATGAAAAACACCATCTTTTTTATTCCATTGTACGGCTCTTTTCCTTTACAGTACACACAGGTCTAGTTCTGAGAGTACCAAGCGAAAATACCCAGAGTGATGGAAACGCTGCTTCAGCCACAAAAAAGCAATTTGGATTTCAATTGGGTGCTCTTTTCTGGGGCTTTGAGTAAGCACCAACTTTTTGATCCAATCCTTTTCAAGTAATTGCTTGAAATGTAAAGCCGTATGAAAGGATGGGGAGCCTGTGGGTTGTTCTCCTCTTGTGTCAAGGTTCTGAATCAGCCTCAATTTAATAATTACACACGGAGTGTTCAGCTTGCAAAGCCTAGCTCCCTCAAGTTAGGAAGTGCCTGAGTTACACTGCTTATGCAACCTTTAATTCAGTGGCTACCCTGCTCTTACTTAACATGCCAGAAGAAGCCTCTGGCAAAGCCAGGGCTGGAACCCAGTTCTTGTGGACCTCTCGTTGCTGCCTGGAATTTAAGAGAGCATGCTTTTCTTCAGTATCAAATACTGTTCAATGAGACCATATAATTAAAGGCTCTTACATAATGAAGATGACATTTAATCTCATTAAATACCATCAACTCTCTATCATTCAGGGAAATGGATATTTCTGGGGTATCCTGGAGATCAGGGAGCTCAGTGGGAGCAGATGAGTGATTAAATTAATCCTGTCTCTGTTAAGATTAATGCCGGCTGAGATTGCGCTCTTGGGTGGAAGGTGGTTTCCTTCCAAGTCTCCTCAGGTCTCCCCATGCTGCCTTCCTGGTACCAGGCTTTAGAAAAACCCATGCTAGTTAATATTGGCCCTAGCTGGCTCCTTAAGGGTTGTGTCTTGTGGCGAAAGGGTGGTGGAGTCATATGTCTGGACCCAAGCTGACTGCCCACGTGGAAGCTGAGAAGTCCCATTTGGAACACAAAAATCAAGAGGCATTTTGAAGGCAAAAAAGAGGAAGGTGAAGCAAAAAGAAGTGAACAAGTCAGCTGGCTTCCAGCAGTACTTGTTAGTACCCCGGTGCTGCCTGGTGACAGAAGCACATGGCAGAGGAGGCTACAGCTAGCTAGGATCCAGCAGGGTTCATCAGCCAAGTTTGTGTGGCCCTGTCCCTGCAGGATACGTCTGGCTGGACCCAGGTCTCCGCAGCAGAGAACTAGCTCCACAGGCCTGGTCTCTGGTGCCAGCCTGAAACCTTGACAGACCAGGCAGTGGCTGCACTTTGCCAAACCCCGAGCAGAAGGAAAGTTCTCTGCTGGTGCTCTGAAAGGCACTACGCCCAGCACTCAAGCCCTCCATCTTCCAGGCCTCATCACCAGGCTGGGTGTCCATAGCCAGAACCGCGGCAGGAACCAAGACCCTGTTGCACTCTGCGCCGTGTTCACACGTGGAAGGAACATGAGTCGCCACCCCCACAGAGCTCGTCTGCTGAGTGGAGGAAGTAGCTCATTATCCCAGTGTTCACTCAGTCATCTATTCATACATTTTTCTTCCAGCATTGTTTTTCTGTGACTAACAAGCAATTACTTGAACCCTTTCCTTCTATGAGAATCGTGGCCCTTCAACTCATCCGCTGTCACAATCCACCTGCCTCTCGTGGGTTTCATGATTAGTCAGGTAAGTCCAGATAGAAAGTTGCACAACCTTTATAAATCACGTGTTCTGAGCTTTGTGTTTTCTGTTCGTTCAGAGCTGTATATAAAAATGATGAATTATAAGTTGCTATGTTGCTTGCAACCATTTGGAAAGCAATTTTGCCAATGCATGGTTAAACAAAGTCATAGTAAAGCTTCAAAGTAGTGAAACTAATAATAAATTTTCTTTGTTTCCAAGTTATTGCTATAGGTGTTGATGGAGAACATCTGCTTATGATCTTTTTTACAGAAAAAGACAAAGTAAGATTCAGCTACACCATGAAAGTCAAGCACAGACATCGCAGAATGTTAGGGGTTGGAAGGCACCTCTAGAGATCACTGAGTCCAACCCCCCTGCCAGAGCAGGACCATCTAGTCTGGGGCAGGTCACACAGGAACGCATCCAGACGGGTCTTAAAAGTCTCCAAGGAAGGAGACTCAGTTAACACATCAGTTAACTGATATGCATCAGTTTACAATTAAAAATTTGGGGAAAAAATGTGAAAATAAAAG